TGAACTTGCAGGAAGGTATGCTATTTATACAAATTAAAGCCTGGCAGGATGAAGGGGCTAATAACCATGTTCACACAGAAGATATACTATCTTTAATGACCACACACATGCAGGACTTCTATTCAAAATGTCTCAGTTAATAGCAATAAAGGCCTAATGCTTTAGAAGCACCATCCAAGATAGGCTGCTAGATAAGAATACTGCAACTTATAGAGCATTTTATACAGAACAGTGCTGGTTTTTTAATGACTCTATAAAAAGAAAGTTGGACATATAATACGGTTGAAAAGTTCCTAGGCTATATTCATAATTCATCTCCTAGTCCTGCACAGTTCTTGTTACAAAATATAAATTTGTAAAATAAAAAAAACAAAAATAAATTTTTAAACTGAGAACTAACAACACGAGCCATTCAACATCGGATGCATTAGCAAATTATCCTTTGGATATTTTAACCTTCTCACCAAAACTATTATACTTTCTTTCCCTGCCTTTACCTCCAGTAGACTGACATTACAGACCTCTTCTACCTTAGGGGGGTTCAAAAGGAAGTCAGCACTCAGAGTGCTGTTTAATTGATGCAGCACTCCAAATAAAAAAAAAAATAACCCTTTAGTATAGACACTTCCCACTATACAAAAACCCCCAAACCAAACTATAAAACATGCAAGAACGATCTGTTAATATTCTTTTGACTCATTAAGTGAAGCACTGTCAGGGCTGAGGAAATCTGATATTTACAATAAAACCTGGCTCATACAGGTGATAAAATACTGCACTAAAAAATACTTTTTTTTTTCCCCTCAGCAAAGAGAATGCTGACATTTAAATAGTGAGAGAAATCAAAGTAGCTTTTAATTTGAAAAGAAGTGAGAAGGCATTTCTTTGCAATCCCAGGAGAAAGAGGCAACAAAGTATATCTCCTGAGGTTGTGAGAGAGCTGTCAAATGAAGCACACACACTTGCCTCATGCAGCTGGAAAAAAATTTTGATATTGACTATTACAAAACACTTGGAAACTAATGGAAGGTCTTAGGTTCACTGGTCTGTTAGGAAAGGAAACAAAGATGATCATCTGCATGATTCTCGGTGCAGTATATGAATTAGTTCTAATGACCACACCCCCAAATATCTCCAGAGAAGAGAAACAGCCACCAGAGGTATGTCTTAAATTGAGGTTTCAAAGAATGAGAGCCTCATGGTTCTGCCCTGCTGCAGCAGAATTTGGATTCTTCCTGCAAGATCTCAAATTCATGAAACATTTGGAAATTCATACTGTTACCTCTGAAGCTTCAAATGTCAGCAACAGTTGACTCACCAGAGCCTGAAGTAGAGTAGAAGGTATGGGCCAAGGTTTCCTTTCAGGGAGAAAATGGGACTTTGGAACTCAGCTTCTGAAATGTGTAAGGTAAGGGCTGTCATCTGATGACCACCATCTCCTCATTTTTGTAGGAGGGCCTCTAGTGATTGCCTGACACCTGCTAAGGCTTAGGACAAGGTTCACCTTTAGAATAATTCTTGATGAGAGTCAAGATGGAGCTAGAATTACAATTTTTTATCTACAGCAATTCTTTGGTAGTCTCAGGTTAGCTGCTACAGCTGACCAGAACAGGAAGGAAATTCTGTAAACTTAGTTCCACCAAACTCATTCAACCTCTCAGGTCCTGTTGCAATGCCAGCATGGCTCCTTGTTAAGTGCCACTACTTGAGCATATGCTTAGTTAGAGGAACATGCTGGCTAATTTTACACTGAATAACAACTAGAAGGAAATAACCTTTGGTCTAGGTTAGAAACCTACAAATGACTGATTTCCTGTCACCTAAGTAATCCTTTCAGTAAACTGATGTATTCATAGGTACAAACAAGCATTTTGTCCACATGGCTTTTTGCTTTGTCTCCCTCTTCCTTTTTATACTATTGCTTCTATTTACATGCCTTTGTCTTCACTTTGCTGTGAACAGAAATATCAGAGATGGATGTTTAAAGGAGAACTGCCACACGTGGCTCTTTTGACTAAAGCCTTATTCTTTCTCACAAGCTTGAGGCAGACGTTTACCCAACAGTTTAACATTTAAGCACTGTGCCTTATACACTCAGCTGGTACTTACACTCTCCTTCTCCAAGGAGAAGGACACATCAGCATAAGCTGGTGGCGCTGTTTGCATGATGCAACGAACTGTAAGAGCCCTCCCCTTCATGCCTTGGTACATCCCAGAGGAACTACACTAACCGGCATGCCATGCTCCAACTCGGGAACAGCCCCGCTGCTGGCAGATACCTGTAACCCAGCACACAACAGGTGCACAGGAACACCTGTGAACTCCGTGACACTATAGTACATGCTTCATACATGGGAATTTAGCGTGTACATGTCTGACACGGACATAAAAAGGAAAGGAGCAGAAGCACCTGACACATACCAGGCATTATTCATGCTGCTGGGGAAAGCATACGTAGGCTGCTTCCATCACCTCCTACATTTCACTTTGAGCCATGGCTCCTACAACTTAAAGTCATCCTGCTTTCTTTTCAAGTCAGTGCAAAATAATTACTCATGGTTCCTACCCCAGAGGGAAATTAGGGATGAAACCAGAGTGGGTGTCACTGTAAGGAGAAGGGTGTGGACTGCTTCCATCCCAGATGTTCATTCCCTGAATTATGCCCCCCAGACCAGGCTCTTGCCCCTACCACTCTTCCAGAACTTTGTTAATACAGGACACAAATCCAATCTCCAAGGATGTCCTATGAGAAGCTCAGAAAAGTTCGTTGAATCATTCAAGTGAACAAGAAGCAGATGGAAGTCTTTTGAAGCTTTTAGCAGAGTGCCTCTGGCTTGACGGCCAAGAAAGCTTTCCTAGAATCATCCCCTTCAATGATCAAGAAGCTTCACTGCAAGCAAGTATTTAAAGCACATTAATAAACAACTATAAAAAGATCTCCATAAAGACAGTGCTCTTTATGGCTGTAGCTTCAAGGCTGGGCCTACAAGTCAAAGTCCATTATCCTACAATTACTTTAAATTAATCTCCATTTTTCCTTCTTAGTAGGTTAGTCAGAAACATGGGGAGAGGGAGGGAACAGTTCTAAATTTCAAGGTATGACACACTCATTCTTTAAAGTTCATGGATTTTTTTAAAGAGGCAAATAGAGTAGACTCTAGCAGAAAAACTATTTCACAAAATATAAACATTCTTATGAAATGGAAGGCATGCCTAAGTTTTGAGTGATAAAGAGGTAATTTCTCCTCCTGATCAGTAGACAAGTTAACTTCATAACCAATAAATGATTCTGCATCTTAGTAAATATCTTATTAAAGCCAGCACTGCCAGCTCCACTGACTTAGAAAGAAAATTAAGTAATTCCTGTTGACTGGTAGTTACATTCTGTACTTTCCTAAGGTCTAAAAATGGTATCAGTTCAAAGGTCCATCCTCTCATTTTGTTTGTCAAGCCAAAGTATACAAACTAAACCAGAATCTGCTTCTACATACCCTGTACTACAACCACCAACATAATCACCACCTCTCAACTTCTGTATGAACACATGTTCAGAAAAGTTAAGATTATAGGATACCATTTAAGCAAAATAAAGTGATCCTGTATGATCCTTCCAGACACCTAAATATAGCCTGGCTCATATAAATGACTTATTTCTTGCCACAAGAAGGAGGGGTCCACCAGGTCAGGCCACTTCTGCAATAATTTGGAGATGCTCTAAACTTCATTTGTGTAGCAAACTAATTTTCAGCTAAGGCAGTAATTTACTGTGTTTTTCCCCGTTGCTATGTGCCTAGTCACACTGCTCTTGACACTTGTAAGTATGCAGTTTGAACGCTTAGTCCAAAGCGTCTCTTTTCTACTGTTCACTGACGTGGAAGGTCTCTACTCTCACCAAATCCACGGGAACAACTCTGGCGATGCACTAAGAGCCATAGCTCCAAGAGGAAAGAAAGATACAATAACCTGATCTTTCCTAACATACAGAAAACTCGCATGTTACAGGAAAATTATACAGTGGAGTGTGCGGTCTCACCTTCTACTATTTCCAACAGACTTTAAATTTCCAACAGGTTTTAAAAGACACCACTTTTAGAAATTCCAGCGGGCCCTATCCTCCCTAGTCTCCACTGACAGCCACCAGCCGTCAGGAAAACGAAGCCCAGCCGACACGAGCCCGTCGGGAACCGACCTCCGACAGCAGCGAAGTCAAAGTAAAACGCAGACACGAAGCCGCATCCCAAGGCTTAAGGTCCACGTCGCGACCCGCTCCCTCCTAAGGGCCGCCCGCAGGCCCCCGGAGCTCCCCCCGCCCCGGCCCGGGCCCGCGGTACCTGCGCGGGGCCGGCAGTGCTGGCGGCGCGGCGGCTCATCCCGCGCGGGGGCCCCGTTCACCCGCCGCGCCCCGGACACGGGGGGGCTGCGCGGCCCCGGGACCGCGGCCGCCGCCTCCAAGCGCCGCGGCCGCCGCGGGGCTCCGGCCAGCGCCCCTTCTCCTCCTCGGTGCCGGCCCCGGGGTCTCGCCAAGAGTTCAGCGCCGGCGGGGGTGTGCGGCCGGGGGCCGGGCCGGGGCTGCCGCTGCTGCCCTCAGAACCGCGGGCTGCGTCGCACCGCCACCACCGCCATCGCCGCTGTTTGTTTTCATCCGCTGCGGGCAGGGGGGGAAGGAAGGAAGAAGAGAGGGAGGGGAGGAGGGAGGTGCCTGGGTGTCCGCGGCGGCACTTTCCGCACAGAGCCGCCACTCCCCGCCTGCCCGCGCCGCGCCTGGACCGCGGGCCGGTGGGCAGGAGGTGGCCGAGGTCGAGAGAAGCGGGGCAGCGCCCGGCGCCGCTCCCGCCGGGAGCCCCCCCGGCTGTGGCGAATCTGCCGCGGCGAACGCGGGGCCGGGCCGGCGGGGACCGCTGGGGAGCGGCCTCGGGGCGGGTAAGGGCTGGGCCGAGCCCGCGGGGGTCGGGCCGCCCGAGGGTCAGGGGCGCCCGGAGAGGGCAGCGCCCGTTGGGCCTGTGGGACCCCCCGACGGGCTGCCCGCGGTTCGTGTCTGTCCTGCCCAGGCGGCGGCCACTGGAGACGGCTCCAGCACACCCCCCCGCCACGGGAGGTAAATTCCTGCCAGCGCCAGGCAGAGTTGTCGGCTCCGCGGTGAGCCCACCTGCTGCCACCTCTGTGTTTTTAAAAGCAGATACAAAGAAGTAAAGAGATTTGCTGGATGGTCAGAGTAAAAGGAAAATAGTAACGGAGCTCACCAGTAACAACTGTTCTGAGTCTCCTTCCCCTTTGCTTTATGCAGGTGAAGCCTCTGGGAAAGCCCTGTCACGGAGGAGCCCCAGGGGACCCCTGGCCGTCAGCCATGGCTGTACCTATCGCGGTTCTTGACTGCGACCTCTTGCTCTATGGCCGCGGACACAGGACTTTGGACCGCTTCAAGCTGGAGGATGTCACGGACGAATATCTAGTATCCACGTACGGCTTTCCCCGACAATTCATTTACTACCTGGTGGATCTTCTGGGTGCCACTCTCTCACGCCCTACGCAGCGGTCCAGGGCCATCAGTCCGGAGACACAAATACTTGCTGCGTTGGGTTTCTATACCTCTGGCTCCTTCCAGACTCGCATGGGGGATGCCATTGGCATTAGTCAAGCCTCCATGAGCCGTTGTGTTGCCAATGTAACCGAGGCATTGGTGGAAAGAGCCTCACAGTTTATTCACTTTCCTGAGGATGAAGCTACTGTGCAGAGCCTAAAGGACGACTTTTATGGGCTGGCAGGCATGCCGGGAGTGCTCGGGGTGGTTGACTGCACCCATGTGGCAATCAAAGCACCAAATGCTGAGGACCTTTCCTATGTGAACCGAAAGGGTCTCCATTCCCTGAACTGCCTGATGGTGTGTGATGCCAGAGGAGTCCTCCTCAGTGCAGAAACGCACTGGCCAGGCAGCCTGCCCGACTGCACAGTGTTAGAGCAGGCAGCCCTCACAAGCCATTTTGAAACTGAGCTACGTAAAGATGGCTGGCTACTTGGTAAGGCAATTTTTCCTCCTTCTTTTCAGTGGAAAGTCTACTATATATTGTCTCCTTATTGAGTCAAGAGCCTCAATGCTTTCCTGCCAATTGCTTTGAGATTTGTGATTCAGTTTGGACAATCCTTACCTTAGAAGTTTAGAACAGTAACTTCCAATCTGTGTTTTATACAGTCTGGTTATTGTGTGTATTAGTTTACATTTATTCTGTTAAAAGCTTGTTTTCAGTATCTTACACCTTTCTAAGCTGAATTATGCAATTTTTAATTCTAGATTAGGGTCCCCGTCTAGCTGTTGTCTTTCACTGGTTTATGCAGTAAATGAATTCACTTAAAACTCTTCCATGTATTCTACCAGGATTTTCTTGAGTAAAACTGAATGCCTTTACTTTGTCACATTTGTAAACTGGAGTTATTGTTGCCCTTTCATGCCTTCTGTTTTAGCCAGAGAAATAAGTTATTCTGTATCTGCTGTACCAGAAAACTGAGAGTGAGGAGCTGAAATCTGTAGCTGTGGGTGTGTAACCTTTTCCTTTTCACTGCTAACAGGTGACAGCTCCTTCTTACTGCGGACATGGTTGATGACCCCTCTGCATATCCCCGAGACACCTGCGGAATACCGGTACAACATGGCCCATTCTGCCACTCACAACATCATCGAGCGGACGTTCAGAACCATTCGGTCGCGTTTCCGCTGCCTGGATGGGTCCAAAGGCACCCTGCAGTATTCTCCAGAGAAATCCAGCCACATCATTCTGGCCTGCTGTGTGCTTCACAACATCTCCCTGGAACACGGGCTGGACGTGTGGTCTTCGCCAGCCACAGGACACATGGAACAGCCGGAAGAAGAGTATGAGCAAATGGAATCAGTGGACTCGGAAGCCTGTCGTATTCGTCAGGAACTTTTACTTACTCATTTTAGCTAATGAGTAGAAAGCCTTAGAAAAGGCTTCTAACAGTTCATCTGGGAAGTTATCCACAGCAGATATGCCCCTTCGTCTTCTTTAGTAAGACGAAGTCAGTAAAGACCAAGCAGATGTGAGACAAGGAGAAATTTTACACTCTTCATTTCAGGCAAATTTTTGAACTTCTCTCAGTTTCGTCAGAGATGCAATTTAATTGTTAAAGTCTTACTGTTGTGATACTTAGAGGCTCCCCTTTTACCTGACTTAGAGAACAATGACTAATGTGACATCAGTGGAGAAATTTGGGAAGTTGGCTTTGATAATGATGAAAAATATGTAAACCTTGCACTTTTTTACAAAGCAACAATTCTATGCTACTGTGTAACCCAAAACACTTATGACTGATTTTTAAACAGCATTTCACACAAATTAAAATTCCATGTGAATTCATGTCTACCACGAATTCATGAGCAGAAAAGCAAACATTTATCTTTTTATTTGCAGGTATAAATTCTTGCTAAATACCATTTTGCTGTTTTGCAGATCTCACAAAACCCAATAATTTCTCTGAAAGCTGAACTGTGTTCTGGGGAGGGTCTGGCTTTTTGCTTGCACATATCTAGAGAGTCAAGAAGAGTTGAATGTTTCTTCTTTCCCAGACAGGCTGGAGAAGACATTAAGCTATGGTTGACTGTCAGGTACTTAACAGACATCAGGACATAGGCAGGTGAATGTTAAGAGTCTCATTTTTACTAGGTATGTCTGCTGCAACAGGAGACTTGTCATCTTGTTGACTGCTGTAAAAGAAATGTCAAGGACTGACTGGGTCACAGAAATTGAACTGATTGCAAAACTTCTTCTTTTAGATCAAGCTGAGGTACAGAAAGGCTGCTCTAGCGCTGCTGGCAATCTACCTCTTCAGTGGAATGAGATGACTGATGCACACTGTTGTTGCTGGCACAAGGCCGGGCAGTTTCCTGGCAACCTTCTCCTTCTAAAAGACTCAAGTGTTCCCAAGGATCTCATGACAGCAGTCTGAGAAAATTTTGTTTCTTACATTTTATTGTTTGTTGGGCAGTAGATGAAACAAAACAATGGGGAATGCAGAATGCTAAAAAATTGTAGCTGCTTAACGTAGCAGTGCAAACACCTGGCACAGCAGGTCTGTCCTTTTAGAGGAAATGAGCCTGGATCATGCCCCACATTTGAAGACTACAAGAGTATGGGACGTATTTTGAAGTGCAGAATGGAGAAGCAGGATTAGATACAGTCTGCCAAGTTTGCAATGGCAGTAAGCATTTTCTGTCTTACAGAAAACCAAGCATGCTTTATGATGTGTAAGCAAGATGTTTTCAGAAGCCTTGATGAGAGCTGTAAAATGTACAACAATCTGAGATGTAATTCTATTTTCTTTACATACCTTCCCATGACATATCATATAGGAACTACTCTCGGTCACTGCGGTGAAACTCCTGCTCCTTTTAGCTAGGAAGAAGCAGACGAGCATTGTTTTCTAAAAAAATAAAAAAGGCATTTTTAAGGTAAGAGTTGCTGCTATATAAGGTGCCTGATGGCTCACAATCACATCTGACGGTCTGTGCTAAAAATACTGATCACTAGACCAAAACACCAGCAGTCACTGAATGAGCTGCATGGGTGACGCTGAGGTCAAGTGAGACTTGGGCATGTGTAGGTACAAACACTGTCACATAATAACAAGCTGGAGTTTCTCAATTTATGCTATGAATAGCTCTCCCCAGCATGTGCTGAGGCCAGAGAGAACTCAGAGTGGAGGCACTTCCTGGAAAACATTTGCTGCTCGGTTTTGTCTTCTTTCAGCCACTGTCACTTTTGGTAGAGTTTAATTTCAAAACAGATTTCACTGTTCCTCAGTTGGGCAAAAAACTGCATCAGGCCACACCAGAGAAAACCAATCCACTGAACACAACTATTCTTTCCTGAGTCAGATGTCAGAACACTTCTGTTCACTCGGGAAATGTAGGGAGCACTTTGCCCCACATACTCCTAAGCAGCTTCCTTCAAAACAATTCACCTAACACTTTTTTCCCTCAGGTTTAGGCAATATTTAAATTGGCAGCTGTGATTCATGTTTCTTCCCTGTTTTCTAGCTTCTCTGTACTTTCAGCTCATCTTGCCAGCTGCATTTCAGGATACTTACAAGATTGTGCACTGTCAGAACTTTGAGACTTAAAGTCTACCCTGACCATGTAATACCTGATAAGTCTCAGTCACCTGTTAAAGAATGACAGTGACTGGCTGTTCACAGTATTGCAGTTTTCACTTCTTGACTAAATTCCCTGTAAACCCCATCATCAGCCCTTTTCCCTTTTCGGTGTTCCCTTAAGATACTTCCTCAAAGCCTGCCTGGCTATGCTGCAGGCTGCCTTCGCTCCTGCCAATCCCACATATCACATGCCGACTAGGTTTTCCTAGAATCATAGAATGGTTTGGGTTGGAAGGGACCTTGAAGATCATTGAGTTCCCACCCCCCTGACATGGGCAGGGACATCTTCTACTAGACCAGGTCACTCGGAGCCCCATCCAACCCAGCCTTGAACACCTTCAGGAATGGGGCATCCGCAGCTTCCCTGAACTGTGCCTCAGCAGCCTCACAGTAAAGAATTTTTTCCTAATAACTAATCCAAACTTACTCCCTTTCAGTTTGAACCCATTCCCCCGGTCCTGTCACTACATGCTCTTGTAAACAGTCTTGCACCATCTTTCTTGTTAAGTTCCTTCAGGTACTGGAAGGCTGCAATTAGGTCACCCCGAAACCTTCTCATTTCCAGGCTGAAAAAAAAAATTTGAAAAAAATTGTTTTCTGCAAATTGCTTTGAGATTTGTGGTTCAGTTTGGACAACCCTTATCCTGGAAATTTGGAACAGAACTTCCAATCTGTTTTATACAGTCTGCTTATTGTACGTATTAGTTTACACCCATTCTGTTAAGAGCTTGTTTGGGGTATCCCACAGCTCTGGGCTGAGTTGTGCACGTTTTAATTCCCGGCGCGGTCCCAGCTCGGGTCGGTGCCGCGGCCCTCGGGGCTCGACTGCTCTCGCCTGCCCTCCGTCGCCCCCGGGCGGCGGTGAAAGACTTCGTCGCTCGGCTGGCGCTGCCTGGCGGCGTTCTAGCCTCGGCTGCTCGGGCCTTGGTCCCGCGCTCGGCGCCGCCGCCGTTCGGGCCCGCTCGGCGCTCGGCTGGCCCGCCTGGCCGGAGCTCGGCGCGGCGGCGGCGACACCGACCCGGGG